AAATTGTTCAATATAATAATCATCCACATAATTAACAGAAAGTGAAGTAAGATTCAGATATTCAATACATGAACGTGAATCAACATTATCAGCTGTATAGGAGTTAAAATTCCATAATGGTGGCGTAACATTGATAATAGAAAAATACTTCAATGATGGAAAAGCTTTGGTAATTCGAATGAAGAATTCATATTCGAATGGAATCGCATCAGCTACCATCAGATAAATAACATGATTGAATATTATATTTGGAAACTTATTGGTAATCTTTTCGAGACGATTAAATATGAATGGAAGTGAGAAAACATGACATATTGCCCTGTATTTACGACAATAATTAACACTACAGGCTATTTGATGATAACCTATATCTGTAAAAGTTTGTTGAATATCATTATCAGATAGATGATGAACTGAATCATCGAATCGAATCTCAGTAGCAATATGAAAACTGAATTTACGAAGTCGTGGCATATGAATAAGAATATCCTCATGGAGATTAGTACCATCAACAAATGTAGATCGATTACGAATACGAATATACAAAGTTAATTTTTCCAAGTATGTCATACGACGAAGTATAGGTATCACCTGATTGTCGTATGCATCAGTTTCATCATAACATGTTAATGAAAAACATTTCAAGTTAGGTAGATCATTCTAATAAATAAAAACACATGTTTATCGATTAATTTCAGGAAAAAATTCATAAGAACGACTGATATAAACTATAATTCATTTTCAACTATTTAAGGCCACCCACCCTCAGAAAATCCATTTTTTCGTAAAGTAATCGAAATCGAGTTTTTATCATAGGAAGATGCAGCTAAGTTTCCTCTTTCAGAATATATATAAATTTTTAAAAAAAGGTCAAATTTTTACAGACTTTCGTAAGAGATTTTCACCTTACTGCCCGGTTCTCGGAGAGATTTTTGCGGTTTTTGTTATTTTTGGGAAGACTACTTTTTTACTTCTATCAGCATGGAACAAATATTCCTATATCATACAGTACGACCTGTAGTGCTAGCTTACGCCACCTATTGCGTGCTTTCAAAAATTCCACATAAATATTATCAATATACTATTATTTCCTGCATTTGAATGAAAAACTGTATTTCTAAAGCTTCTTTAGTGTTTTTCTCAAAATGGTGGTCAAATGACGCATCACCACGAAAAGTCAACTATAATGCGATATAAAGTCAAATATTTTTTTTTGTTTGAAAGAGCATGTCAGAATGCAGTGCCTCTGAGGGCCCTTTTTTTGATAAAGCTTTCTTATTATTATATTGAAAAGCGACTTTATAATATAAGCATGATTTTTTTGAGGGATTTTTGAGTGATTGAACTTGTGAAGCCTGTTTTCCTTCATAAAGATAAGAATAAAAAAAAAAGGCCCTCAGAGGCACTGCATCCTGACATGCTCTTTCATACGAAAAAACAATGAGCCAAATTGAATCAACACCTATAGAGAATTTTTGGTGATGCGATAAGCTATTTTTCGACCCTTGTTTGGTTCGTACCTACTTAATACATCAGGATAGGAGGCTGAAAATTTTATCATAGACGTACTTTTACACCCCCCAAGTTCCATGCTATCTCGATGTTTCGGAGCTGAGATCAATTTTTGAGGGGGGGGGGGGGGGGAAGGCCTTAAAATATTTCTTATATTTAACGTGAAACATATATTTTACAATAAAAATAAAACAATTGGTTTATTTTTCTAACCATTCACGGTAACACCTACGTATGATACTTATTAATAGAATGCTTCGAACATCTTAAGACAAAAATCATCATATCTGTTAAAAGAAAAATACTCTATAGAATTTCGATCAATTCTATATTTATTAGTTTTAACATACATAGAAAAACTCTGATAAAAGTCTCTTAAACAAAAGTTTGTCTTCAATCATTCAACTAATTATTTCCAATAGGAATTGTTTATCAAGTGATTTAGAAGGACATACTCTCGATTTACTAGTAACTTACGGTATTATGAACAATCCGTGAATTATTGTTGATATACCTAATTTCAACAATGAATGTTGTCAATTGTTTAAGACGACCATCAAGTAAATGAAAACAATCATTAATACTTTCTACAGTGATACATAATTTTTTAAGAATAGAAGAAAAAAAAGTATTTGATGGTAAATAACATATTGACAAAGGTGGATATTGACTAATGAATGATGATTCAATAATACTTAAATATGTTAAATTTTCAAAGAAAGTCAAGATTGGTGCATAAACATTTGCAGTATATTCTTCTGATAATATTATCCCACTGTCTTGATCACTATTTTCAAGAATAAGTTCTGTTATTTGATGTTTGAAAATATGTTGAAAGATTGACTGATCTAAGTAAAAAAAAACAATTAAATCATTCGCCAGAGTTTATTGTAATAGTTTTATATCTTTTTTATTTTCATATATAAATATATTGAGTATTTACCTGTAAAATAATTTAAAGCGATATGTCGTCCAAAGTTAAACACCTTGAGATGCGTTAAATTTGGAAAGGTGCCAATCAGAAGAATACGTTCCATAGACATTGACTCAAGAGTGAGACGTTTAACATTGTAATGGATTCTTGGTAATATTGAAATACAAAATCGATCAAGTATTGGATTGACAAGTGAAGAATTATCATCAGCTGAATTTGTGAGTAAATTCAGAGTGTTTGTAAAAATATTGTCTTGTAATAGACTGTCAAATCGTTCATTGATAACATCGAATAATGAGTACAAAACACAAATATTGTCTAGTTTCTTCAAAATATTCAACAATATTTCATTTGGCAAGTCAGAAAAAACAACGTTAGACTGACTCATTTTTTTTTCAAATTGTGAATAGTGTGAACATGGAAATAGATGCACGTATATATATATATGTCGTGCCGAAGTTACACTTCTTGCCGAAGTTACACTTCTTGCCGAAGTTATAACTTCGACAAAATTTTTGCCGAAGTTACAACTTCGACGGACGATGTTGTCGAAGTTATAACTTCGACGATTATTCTTGCCGAAGTTATAACTTCGACAATGTGTTTCGTCGAAGTTTAACTTCGACAAACATATTTTGTCGAAGTTAGTGTGAATGATAAAATAAATATCAACTTTCAAGAAATCAACAATATCTTTCATGTTGTATCTTAAAAATTATTTTTTTTTCATCAAAACAATAATACAAAATTTATTTTTCAATATTATGACAAATATACTAGCGTTTCAGCAAGAATGAATATTCATTCGACTTGTACTTTTACGTATTTACTGCGATACAGATGAAAAGGAGTTTGGTAGATTGTAAAGATACAACAATCTTCTATGAAACTCTAAGATTATATAATATATTAATAACTTCAACGCAGAAAAAAATTAACATATTGTTCCTTCTATTCGTCTGAATATTCGCACGTTTGTCTTAATATTGAAAAATAAATTTTGTATTATTGTTTTGATGAAAAAAAAATAATTTTTAAGATACAACATGAAAGATATTGTTGATTTCTTGAAAGTTGATATTTATTTTATCATTCACACCAGAGATGGAAACAGGACAAGTTTTTCCGTCCTGTCCTGTCCTGT